ATTTATAAATATTTGAAGCTGTAAGATTTATAAATATTTGAAGGTGTGAGATAAAAACTAAAGCGTTTGATAAAGTTTGGCATGCTGGTCTCCTCCATAAGCTTTCTTCTTATGGTGTATCTGGAAACATCTTTAAGATTATTGAATCTTTTCTTTCCAATCGTAGTATAAAAGTTGTCCTTGATGGACAGCGCTCTTTTTCTTATTCTGTAACCTCAGGGGTTCCCCAAGGTTCAATCCTTGGCCCTATACTCTTTTTAATTTACATTAACGATCTTCCAGATATTCTCTTTTCGACAAAGAGAATATCTTCCAGATATTCTCTTTTCGACTCTTTTAGACAAGGTGCAAAAACGCATTGTAAACATAGTTGGAGCTGCTCTTGCAGCCAACCTTCAACCTCTGTCACATCGTCGTAATGTTGCTTCTCTTTCTCTTTTCTACAAATACTATAATGGGCACTGCTCTAAAGAGCTAGCGTCTCTTGTGCCATCTACTAAAATTCATTCTCGTGTTACTCGTCATTCAATTAAGTCTCATCTTTTTTCTGTTACTGTTCCTAAGTGCTCCAAAAACTCTTATTCGTCTAGTTTTTTTTCCTCAAACATCAGTTCTTTGGAATTCGCTTCCTTCATCTTGCTTTCCTGATTCATATAATTTGCAATATTTTAAGTTGTCTGTCAATCGTTATCTTGCTCTACAATCTTCATCTTTTCTCTTCCAGTAACTTCCAACACTAATTAGTGGTTGCTTGCAACCTTGTTGGAAGCGAAGATAATTAAAATATATATATATATTTGTAGCATCAACTTTTACTATTTATAACTAGTACAGCAAATGTCAAAATCTTGGGAAACATGTTTCATATTCTATTCGAAATTGTTATAAGTGTAAAAATATGCAACAATAACTTAAAAATATTTAACAAATAACTTTTTGGTTAATTGTTTCTATTTCTATAATGACTCTGACCTATGAATTTGTTTTAAGTAGTGATTTTAAATAAAAAAACTTTGAGGCATAAATACGGGAAAAACTGAAGATGTAATAAATTTTTGCACAAAAATTTTTTAAATTATCTGCTTTTTTAAAACATTCAAATCACTCCCAAAGAAAAATTGCATATTTAATGTTTTTTTGAAAGAAAATAAAAACTTCATAAGAAAATACCTCTACAAAATGGCAGTGGTGGAAAATGTTAAAGATCACTCATCACTATGCCAATGTAAAAAAGTAAATATAAAAAGTTGTCAAAAGTCAAAAAGGATACAAGCAATAGTAGTTGCATAAGGTTTTGTGTACTTTAAATACTTTAAAGTAATAATAAATATTTTATTTTTTAAAGAAAAATGTTAAAGCTCGGAACACCAATATTAATATAAACATTTAACATGTAAAATATGTAATATGTAAAACAATTTATAATGGTTAATATGATAATTTTCACTAGTAAAACTAATATTTTAGTCTTGTGACACAGTGGATACATAAATTAACACTATAAATCAGAGGGACATCAGTGGCCCGTGTTTTACATGTTTTATGGTAAAGTGAATTTTTGTAATCCAATAACTTTGGCATTATTTTGATTTTATTAAAATATAAAGCAATGTTATTTGGTTAAAAAACTATTGAATTATGCAATTTCTAAATTTACTTAAATAAGAAATTCGTAATTAATGACTAAAATATTGATAAATAATGCTGGGTAGTTAATGTTTATAGTTTTTTTGATAAAAATATTTAAAGCTTTTAGTAATAGGATAATTAAGAATATACAGCCAAGATGTTCGGAATTATTCAAGATGTTTGGAATTATTACTAATAAAATTTGTTGCAATCAACATTTTGTTGCTATGAATTTTGAATTAAAAATACTTTTGAAGCTATGATTATACCTCTACTAAAATCTAAAATTGGTAAACAGATGTAAATAATTATTGAACAATTGCAAATTCTCTTTCTTGTTCTAATATATTTGTAGGTATTTTATTAACATGAATTTAATCTCACAATAATGCTAATGATTTTCAGTTTGGTTTCAAGCAAAATAGTCTTTGTTTGAATAAAAAAATATTTAGTTGTGACATTTGATGAACATTTGAGTTTGCAAGATGTTTCTATTGAATGGCAAGTTCATCTTTTATCTGAAGTTTTTGTTCAGTTAAAGCAAATCTAAAACTTAAAAAAATTATGATTAAAATCAGATTATTGTAATTTTTAGATGTATTTTGATGTTTATATGAATATGCATTTTTATTATATTACAGCCAATATTATATTATATTATATATATATATATATATATATATATATATATATATATATATATATATATATATATATATATATATATATATATATATATATATGTATATATATATTATATATTATATATAATATTATATTGCTCTATATTATATTGTAATATTATATAATATTATATTATATATAATATATATTATATTATATATAATATTTATTAGATTATATATAATATTTATTAGATTATATATAATAATATATTGCTCTAAATTTTTTTGTGATAAACAGCTGGGGTTATAAACAGCCCTGCCAATGCTAGATTATATTTTTAAGAAATACTTTAAATTCCATCATAACTTCCACTTTTTGTGAATCTACATTTGATATTTTTTTTTTTTTGTTATCAATAACTTCAAGCAGTTTATTAAAATGCTCAAACTTTAAATATTTTTTGTAATATTTTGTTAAAAATTTATTGACAAACTTAAATCTGAATTTAAAAAATGTTATAAAAACTGACGACTATAACACTATACATTGTAATTAAATATTTGCAATCTCAGAATCTAGGATTCCGCCTAATTTTTTAACCCTGAATTCCCAGGATTATTTTGAAAATATCCTGGGATTTAGAATTTATAAAACTACAATTAATACCTGCGTTTAAAATGTGTCAAATAAAACATAAAGTAACAACAAAGCTATAAAATTTCGTACCAATGCAGTGCAATATTTTCATTATTTATTTTTATGTTTAATATATAAGATTGATTAAACTTTATAAGTTTAATCAATCATATATACTGTGACAATTACTGAAGCGTTTATTCGGTAATAGTAAGAAACTAATTTTAATTATTAATCTAAATTATAATAATATAAATAATAATAACATTAATGGGAAAAAAATTAAAAATATATTTGTACTGATTTATATTGTGTTTTTGTAATAATAGAGTGTATTTATTTAAATTTATTGAACTTTAAAAATTCCCCTTAATAAGAAAGTAAATAATTTCTTATATTTTCTTTGATTCGTCAAATTAGGAAACTATGTCAAATTTCATAGAGTTCAACACCAAAACCTCTATATGGAAACATTTTCTGCACAACGAAGAAAATGAAACAGCAATGTGTAAACTAAGCTATTGCAAAAAAGTATTGAAAATTATGGGGGGAATCAACAAAAGCTCTTGATTCTCATCTTCTTCAGTTACATTAAATAAATTTAAAAGCAGAACTGGCGACGCGTTCTCTGACATTGGAAGAAGAACCACAGAGTAAAAAAAGTAAAATTAGTTCTTACTTTTCATCAAATATGAATAAAGAAGAAAGCTTGTCTGAGGTGCTTGCAAGATTAACAGCTAAAAATGGAATTTCTTTTAACGTAATATGCACTTCTATTGAAATACGTGCTGGACTGGCTATGAGGCGATTTGTCAACAACCTAAATCTCCAAACACTGTTAAAACACTGATATTGTGTTAGAGTTTATGCTAATTAAATTAAAAGAAAAACTACAACAAGTTGTCAACTTTTTAATCCATTAGCCTCCAGAATCAAAAGGCAAAGGACTGAATTAAGTAGTCTACTGCACTATCTACATTATGGAGAAAACAAATTAATGCCCATAGGTGAAGTTTTTGAAACATCTTCAAATTTTAAAAATAAAAAAGTAATGTTGAAGCTTCTAATTAGATTAAATTTAACAAATTTAAATCACCCTACAAATTCCTTGGACAACGTTGAAGATTTAGTAAGTCAAGAAGATGATGAAATACCGAAAAGCGCAGATAATGAAATGCCGAAAACTATTAGTGAGCAGCTAAATGAAGCCCTAGAAAAAGGTTCTAGCAACACCCAGAAATTCTTTGTCAAGATTAGGCGAAACTTTTACTTCTAAATTATCAAATGAAATGTCATTGCTTGAAAGTGGTTGTACTCGGAGTGATATTCTTCAGAAAGTTTATGATTTTTCAATGATGATTAAACCAACGAACGTAGAATCAGAAAGGGCTATTTTTCAATGATGATTAAACCAACGAACGTAGAATCAGAAAATTTTATTACAAAATAATCCTGCAAAGGTTTATTTTGTAATATTATAAGAAGACGCTTAAGTGATAATAGTTTTATGCTTTCTGCAAGTATATTTTCTAAAAACAAAATAAATTTTACTTTATGTACAAATTTTATTCATTTTACTTCAAAATACTTAATTAAATTATGACTTTTCTTTCAGTTTTAAAGCATTAAAGAATGCCGGGAAATTCCGGAAATTATTTATACAACCCCGAATCCCGGGAATAGAAATTTTCCGGGTTTTTGCAAACCCTAATTATAATGTTATATTTATGGCGTTTTTTTTTTTCATTTAAAAAGTTATAAATTAATGAAATTTTCTGAAAGTGTTTTTTTATAAAATGACATTTTTTATTTATAATAATAATATTATTCAAAAAAATATTATTCTTCAGTCTGCAGATTTTAGATTTTTAAATTTATTAATTAAATTTGTTTTATTTAAGAGAATAACCAGAAATAGTTTGTTAGTTGTTGCCACTAAACATAAGTTGGAAAATATTTTTAATGAAAATAAAGTTAACATAAAAGGTTTTTGCTTTTTTTAACCCTCTCAAACTTCAGGTTTAAACATGAAAAAAACTATGAAGATCGTCTTTAATCATTAAGTTCTTATCCATGCGTGACACCAATAATTTTTAGATTTTTTTTAGGGTTGTCCTAAGGTTGTCCATAATCTTATGTTGGAATGCTGGAATAAAGATCGGTCTATGCGACCAAGGTTTTCTGGTGTAGTGTCAATGCTTGAGAGTTGGATTCGAGCTCCAAACTTGTTATCAGAGAAAGCATTATCTGTGGTCCAAAAAAAGTAGTTTTTTTTCTATATGTTTTCTAAGTTCTATATTTGTTCTATATTTGTTTTCTAAGATCCTTATTTGATTTATCTTTCTAATTCTTTGAAAATAACATGCTACTACTTGCATTTTAGTGATGAAAAATTAGATTATACAATTTTACAGTCAATAACCAAATGGCTGGAAGCTATTGGAATGGAGAAATACGCAAACAATTTTCTGGAAAAAGGCTTTGCAACTCCTCGACAAATATTAAATGTTTCGTTTGAAGATCTTCTTAAATTAGAAATTGAACCAATTGGTCATCGCAAGAAAATTTACAAAGCCATTCAAAACACTAAAGTTCAGGTTAATTTTTTTATCTTTTATATATTATATATAGTTTTTTTTTTACAGCTTTATGTAACATTTTTATGAATGCTGTATTTGTTTTAATTATCATATGTGCTCACAAATATAATAAAAAGAATTATTAAATCAACTTTTTTTATAAAAAAAAATTTTTTTTTAATTTTTTTATACATTTTTTTTTGTGGTAAAATTATATTACCCTTTATGTTATTATATTACAAAAATGTTGACAAAGTTACCTTACTAAGTTTGCTTTTTGTTGTCGTTTTTAAATAACTTGAGTATTAAAAATAAAGAAAGTCCATAACTGGCTCTGTGTCACTCCTTCTACAAATATATTCACTATTCACATAATATTATTTATATTTAGATTGAAGCTGTTAAAGTCAATAAATACGCTCTGGTAAATTGATTTTTTTTTTGTAGAAGTTAAAGTTTAGTATAGAAAATATTTTGTATATAAATGTTGAACATAAATTATTTGGTAAAATCTATTTTCATATATAATATTATTTGGTAATATATATTTTCATATAAAGTAAATTATTTGATAATATATGTTTATATATAATATTTTTTTAAAAAAGGTTTACATAGTTTAAAAAAGAATCTGTTATTCATACTTAATTATTAATTTTTTTGAACATAAATAATATATATTTTCATATAAAGTATTTTTTTAAAAAGATTTTCATTATCTAAAAACAATCTGTTATTCATTCTTGAGTATTAATGCTGTTGATAATTTTGGGTTAAAATTTGTTAATAATAATCACAATCATATCATAAATAAAACATTATTTTGATTTGCATTAAAAGTGTTTTATCAGCATGATAGCCACTGTTCAAATTTTATCAGCATGATAGCCACTGTTCAAATAATTTATAATATTTGATTTAAACCTCTACGAAAAACGTTAGTTTTTTTATTTGAAATTAAAATAGACATTAAAAGTTTTAATTATATAGTTTTTATTCATAAAAGTATAGTAATAATGTATCATTTTTGTTACGATAATGAACAATTTTGTCGTATTAAATCAAGCAGTTTTTTCATGATTAAATAGAACTCAGAAAAGTGAAATAAAAAACTGTTCTTTTGATTTATAGTTTTATAATAAAAACGGGATGATTTTTAATTTTATAATAAAAGCATGGGCGCACCTAAATAAACCAGTATGTCACATCAAAACAACTAAATCTTATAAAATCATTGGCCATATCGTTTAGATTTTGACATAGTAAAAAAGGAATTTTTGAATTTGTGTATTTTATATTTAAATAACTAAATTACTAAATCAATATAAAATTAAAATATCAAAAGATTCTCAATTAACTGCGACTAACGAAGCTTCTTGAAATTCTCTTAACATTTCCCAACAACTAAATAGATTTAGAAAAAGAAAATGCATAAGAAACTTAAAAGCGAGAAAAAGTAATAGCTACTTTATTATTATATGGGAGAACCAGGGAGAAAATTGACTATTTTTGGAAAAATTTTGCTAATTAAAATTATGCTTGTTTTGAATTCTTAAAACTTTTTATTTTCATATACGCTTTGCAAAATGTAAAAAATGTTTTTCATCAAAAACCGTTTTTTTTTCGAACAACAGTATGGTTTCCTTTTTTCGAACAGCAGTATGGTTACTTTTTTTTTGAACAGAATGATTCCATTTGGTTCGAACAGTATGGTTGCTATTTATCTCTAATATCTCTGTAACCTAAGTTCATTTGAGCTCAAATTTTTTCTCAACAATGTGCAAGACGTTTGACTTCTTGAATGTTTCTTTAAATCATAAGTATTAACATTAAACACTTTTTGTGCCAACCAAATGTTTATTTTTGATACACAGTTATTCAAATTTTCTTGAAATTGAATGTGATTGCCTGGGCACCGGCAGGATTTTTTAATGTTTCAGACACTTTCACGCATCGTGCAAATTCCAAGCTTATGTATGTTCATATACATGCCAAATGAGGATGCTTCGCAAAATATTGGGATGGTGGGGAGAAGAAAACAAAATGTTTGCTTTCTTCTTCCCCTGTCTAAACGTAGGGCAGTGACATAGTAAAATTATCAACTTTACCATCTTAAACTAATTAATATTTATCGACAGATTTTAAATTTCATACAAAAATATTGTAAATTTCAAAAGTTATTACCATGCAAAATTTACAATCCCCTCTATTTATTTTTTTTTTTTTGGAGGGGGGATGGGGGCGGAAAATTTCCATAGTTGTTACTTTTGTAATATACAATATTTTTCTACAAAATTGAAAATCTGTCGATGAATTTAAATTTGGCTTAAAATAGTAAAGTTGAATTACTGATGTAGTAAAAAATTTTTAAATTTTTCCTACATTAGTGCCCTCACGTTTGGGAAGTGAGGGGGCCAAACGTTTTAGGGTTTTTTTGTTCCTAGGCAAGTTTTTTAAAGAAATAGAATGTATGTTTTTTAATGTAGACAAATTTTATTCATTCATTGTTTAACTAATTTTTTTAATAAATTATTGAGTTTCTTTTTTTCTTTTTTTTAATATTTTTTCTAACAGTTACAGCCTTGCCAAAACGTAATAAAAAAGGAACGTTATACCGATTTTGTACTCAACAAATACTCAATAAATTTTCAGGTACCGTGCCTATTGGGTAGAATTATAACTATGAATATTTACCCATGGCATTTTTTTTTTAATGTTATATGCGGTAGTAGAGTAGTAACAGTAATACATTAATCTTGCAATCATGAAAGTTGGTTAAAAATAAATTTCTGCAATTCGTTTGGATTTGAGTTGGGATATGTAATCAAAAAAATTATTCCAAAATTTGCAGTTGTTGCTCATAAAGTTTTGGAGCCAGAGCCAGATATTTCTTAGGAGCCGGAGCCTAGCCGTAAAAAAACTTTCCGTTACAGAAGCCTGCCTAGGCCTCCACCATACCAATTTTTTGCAGGGCTACCTCATTAAGCAAAAATATGCTTAAGTTTAGGTTTGCGCAATGCGTGAAAGTATCTTATTTAAAACATAAAAAATCCTACGGGCGCCCATGTGTGATTGGAAGTTACTTAAAGTTTTTGTTTCTCAAAGGAATGTAGTAAAACATCTCTGTAGGTTCTGCTGTTAGATACAATAATGGTGTTATGAGACTACTTCCTACTAACAAACCAGGTCTAAGTTGTGGTTTTAATGCAGCAGAAGAAGTCGAATAACAGATATTCTTTGTGTCAAACAATATGACCATATATCAACTAATTGTGTTAAAAAAGACATAAAAATCTCAGACTCTAGAATAGGGTTGAGTGATAAATATGAAGGAAATATGGTTATTACCATTTATGTTGATTGCTATGCAGAAGCTTGTTTTTGCAGGTTTAATGACTGAACATATTGGGATTACTATTAGTGTTGTTACGACTATAAAATAGTTTGTCTGTCGACTAAATCGACTAATATATTCTCTAAAGTCGACAAAAATCGTTTTATACATTATTGAAATCGACCAAGTCAATTTAGTCAAAGTATGGGAATAATTTATTTTTTTGAAATAAATTGTAATCAAAATAATAAAGTAATTTATATTCGTTTTCTATTTTTTTAATATCATATCATTTATATATAAATGGAGCAAAACAAAATTAGAGAAGGGCCGCTCCGATAACGGAATTATCTGTTCCCAGACCATTATGATTTAGGGACCGCCTTAAATACTTGCCACATATTAAAAAATCGTTACAATATGATCATATTGTAAATATGATCATATTTACAATATGATTGTATAGAATGACATTTAGATTTTGGAGCTTCACAACTTAATTTTGCTCCAGGGCCAGCTTGGAGCGGTCCTTTATGAAAGCATTTATGAAAACTATAAGCAGCGAACAAACAAAAGAAATAAAAATTAATGAAATACAAAATCGAAAGTTTAATTAGGTTTAAATAATGCTAACATTGTATGAATTAGATAAAACTTTAGGAGAGTAAACAAAAAACTAGGTAAAAGTTATAATAGTAACTATTGTTATTATATGAATAAATAAAAGTTAAAGATTTAAAAGTTAGATTGAATGAAATATATAAGGATTTTAAGATTTTTACTCGACTTTAAATCGATTTTCAGTCGATTAGTAGAAAGTCCATAGTCGATTAAACCTACTATTCGATTTTTCAAAGTCGACTAATTTCAACTTGTGACAGTGGACTTTAAGTCGATTTAGTCGAGATCGATAATAACACGATTTACTATGCAGCAGAATTTGAATGTTTTTTCAAAATAACTTTTTTTCTCATTGTTTTGGTCCTTATTTCCCTTAATTCATAAATATTAAAGTTGTCAACCTGGTAAAATTTTAAAAATTAAGTTTCATAGACAACATTCTAAATAAATTAAAGATTTTAAAATAAAGATCTTTGAATTTTCAAATAGTTTTGACAATTTTTGAATTAGTTGTATTATATAAAAGATTCGGCAGTTTTGGGGTAAAATAACATAGGTTATGCGCATAAATAATGACATCATCACTAAAAGTTTTTAATTTTATACTTTTTTTTTTTGTTTATTTATTAATATAAATGAGCCGAAAGTCTATTGAAAGTTTACAATTTTTTGTTGAAAAAAAAGTTCCTTTCCCTTGTACTAGCCTAAAATTTATTCCAAAGCGTGCTTCATATATGTGTGTTTTATTGTTAGTAATATTTACCTCAATATTCAAACTATGATGTCATCTTTATACGTCTTTTTTGAAAGTTTCAATAAAACTGTGCATTATCGTTTTTCGAGGTTTTCAGTTGAAAGTTATTATTCCTTACTTACGCTCTTCAAACTATTCTTTACATTGATGACGTGAACCATTAAAAACTTTTAAAGTATATTTATATTTTTTTATTCTTTTTTTTTTCAAAACTTTAGAGGATTCCAAAAATAAGCTTCTAAACTTTACGAAACGAGCTTATACGAAAGAACTGCACGCCAGACATTATTAAAAGATTTATTTCGCTTCCATTTAAATCACGTTAGAACTTTTTTGTTATAATATTCAACAAACCAGAAATAGAACGAGAGGATGGAAATCCGTTTTGATTGATAAAGAGTAAGTTGTTTGACTCAAAATATGAGAAATTTGTTAAATGGGGATTTAAAGCTTTTAGTAGTAAGAACACTGGTTGAATTAAAGTAGAATCAAAGTAATCTCAAGAGATTTTGATAGTTGCAACCACTGATGCTGTTTTTGAGCACGTAAAACAAGAAAATATAGTTTTTTTTTCATTACACTCTAAACTACTTAACAAGTTCAGCACTTATTAAATAGAATACACTCTAAAAAAAAAGTAGAAATAACCTTAAGTGTACTTCACATATTCTACTTTAAAAGATATATCACATACCCTACCCTTTAAGGAAGAAAGTTATACTCTTTAAAGTATAACATATCTTTTAGGTGTCAAATTACGCCACGTATGACCATTTTTAGTATAATTTTTTACCTATAGGTATAGTTATATAACTTTATACCTAGGATATGTGATATTCCCTAAAGGTAGAAACTTATTACTTGTTTTTTAATGTGTAAAGAGTAATGAGGAAAGTTATGGAGAACCATGTGTGGTTGCTAGAACACACAGTGTACTAACGTACACTATTTGTGGTCGTTTAAAAGTAAAAATTCTCTAGTTCGCTATCTCTCCTGAAACAGACTTTTTTTTAACAAAAGTATTGAATTTTATGTTTAAAAAAACACTATTATGTTATGGAATAGAGATATCGCGAGGTTAGAATTATTTTGTTCTATCTCCACATTTTTTTGTTTCGAGATAAAACGATTTAAAAAATAAAAACTTTAGGAGACGGCATATAAAAAGATTTTTATTACTTATGTTTTCTCCGAAACTTTTTTGATTTTAACTAAGGTTTTAATATAGTAGAAACGATATTTTTAGGTACATGACACAATTAATAACTCATTTTTTTCAAAAAGTGGAGATAGAACAAAATAATTCTAACCTCGCGATATGTCAAATTAACTAAAAGTTGTTTTGCTTTTAATGTTTTGAATATGTATATATATATATATACAGGGTTGGGTTAGCCAACCAGGACACCGGCAAATTTCCAGGTAGGCCGGTCAACTTTTGTAGCTGTGGCCGCCAGCTTCCGCCTGTTGCTGTACTTAGTAAAAAAAAGTATTTTTTCCACTTGAAATTCCATCATATCTTAGTAATGTTAAAATAAGACATTATAACAGTATAATTTTATGACGCGTCACGTAACCGTAATATAACGTGTTACAATACCGTAAAACTGTTTATACCTCATTAGTTATATCTCATTAGTTATTAAACATAATGGCTTCTTCATTTGTATTATTTTATTAATGTTTTACAAAGTTTCCACTCTTCATTAAAAACCATTAAATAAATTTCAAATTTTATGTGGGTTGTAATGGTAATATTCGAGGTATATGATTTAGTATAAACTGTGATTAAAGTTTTGTAAGAGACGAGTTCTCATTGAGTAAAGAAAAGAAAACATCTTGACTTAATGTTATATTTCTGCGAAAGAAACCTGTATTTTCATTATAAATTTATTAAATAACCTCAAAAAGAGAATGATTCTCTTCTTGAGTAATAAGTTTCTTCTAAACTTTTTATGTTTTGTTCTTTTTTACTAAATCTCCTTGATATTTAGGCAAGTTTAACAAAGCCTAAAAACTTGTGAAAAGTTGTTTATTAAAACTAGATCCCTTTTTAGAAGAAACCTTGGGCTGTTTCATTTGGGTGCGAGATCGTCTGTCAATTCCCCCCCCCCCCCTCCTCCTCGTTAATTGGATTATAGAAAAAACTGTCATCCATCCTTTTTATTATAATTAATAAAAGACATTTAAAAAAACAAGAAGTGTCAATATGGTGTTACAATTTGATGAGGCCGATCACAAATGGTTTTCCCGGTCCATGTTTAAAAGCTAGTCCAAACATATATATATATATATATATATATATATATATATATATATATATATATATATATATATATATATATATATATATATATATATATATATATATATATATATATATATATATATATATATATATATATATATATATATATATATATATATATATATATATATATATATATATATATATATATATATATATATATATATATATCAAGACAAATCCTGATCCCTGACAATGACCTACAAGACATACAGCATGCCGCTGTACGTTTTCTAGTTTTCGCAGATTTCACGATTTGCTTCCACGGAATTCTTTTTAGATTGATTTTATAAATTGTCCACACACATAGCAAAATGCATCTGCCGGATGCAGATTCAAATTAAATAGATTCAAATTAAATGCTCTTTAAATACAGTTCGTTATTTCTTTATTTACCGATAACTCAAACTAAAATGTTGGTTCACATCATCCCTGATTTTATACTTTAATGACTACTTTTGGATACCTCGAAAACTTTCTTTAAAGTTTCTGGAAGTTTCTCAAAAGTTCTAAAAGTCTCTTTAAGGTGACACACACCAAAAAAAATGTTATTTTTTTGAAAATCAATTTTAGGATTTTTTGGTATTTTTATTCTATAACAATTCCTCCAACATATAATAAAAAAATTAGTCTCAAAAATAATATAAAAGTTAATCTAACAGCATTTTAGTAGATAACAGTTTTAAAGAATTTCCCAAAGGAATAAAGACGGATTTCCACAATGTTGCGTTAGTGCGCTAACGTAGCAGCCAGCAGGTTTCTTTTTATTGTATATATAGCGGAGTGCGAAATCACTCTCACTCTCTAAGCCACAAACGACCTGATTTTACGGCATAGACTGACTAAATTATTGTTTTTTTAAAGGTAGTATATTTTTATTGAAAAATCGTATGCCGTCAACACTCATAACCCGTGGCTAGATTGCTTTTTGCCTTGTGGCTGTACTTATTTCCCAGTCTTTTTATGCCCGGCCTGTCACGGAGAAAACAGTCCGCCGGAGTAAACTGTCCGGCCGGACTGTTTACTCCGGAGTAGAATGTCCTACATTGGAGTAAATTGTCCTACTTAGCAAATAATTAGTTAAAGAATCGCGGCTGATTTTGTACCAATAATTGGTACAAAATCAAAAAATTGGTACTGTCACGGAGAAAACAGTCCGCCGGAGTAAACTGTCCGGCCGGACTGTTTACTCCGGAGTAGAATGTCCTACATTGGAGTAAATTGTCCTACTTAGCAAATAATTAGTTAAAGAATCGCGGCTGATTTTGTACCAATAATTGGTACAAAATCAAAAAATTGGTACAAAATCAGTACAAAATTTTGTACCAATAATTGGTACAAAATCAGCCGTGATTATAAGATTTTATATTTGTTATATATTTAGCTATAATTAATATTGTTCGATTTAAAATAAATTATTATTATAAAATATCAAAAATCATTTTAAAAATGGATGAACAGAAGAAGAATTATGAAGAAATGATGCTTGCTGATGTTAGTAACTATTTTCAAATAACTAAAGCGCCTCTTAGTAAGTTGGTAATTATGGCGGATATGTTTTGAAAAAAAACTATTCCGAATGCTATTAACTCACGGTTGGCGAAAGAAACTATCACTCAGACGTCGATCAAAGTCCACTTGTAATTATGAGTAGTTTGCATAAGGTATAATTATGCCAGTTATAAAATTTCTAAATGCGCGAAATTTAAAAAGGCTTTTAAAAGAACACAAATATCGAAACGATTAAAAATGGATGTGTCAATGAAAAGGTAGTTTTAAAAAGTTATTTAGGGTTTCCATAAGTTAATTTAACAAAGTATGAATGATTAAAAAAAAAAAAGACTAAATAGTAAAATCGAATTGTTCACTAAATATTACAATAATAATACAAAAAAATAAAAGTATTTAAAAAAATTATAATATTTTTAATTATAAGTCTATATATATTCGCTAATCATTGATAAGCCTATATATAGTTTCATCATTGATAAGCCCTTATCAATTATAGTTATCAACGATATATATTGGCTTTTATATATATATATATATATATACCCAC